GCTTTGCTCTTGTTGCCTAGGATTGCTTTTGCTCTTCTGGGTCTCTTCTGGTTCCCTATGCATTTCAGTATTGTCCTCTCTAGTTCTGTGAGGAACACTTTTAGTATTTTGATTGAGATTACATTAAATCTGTACTCCCAAAGGATCCATCAAAAGCTGAAGGCCTGGAGCTTGCTGTAGAGCCCTGTGTGCATCTGTATCAGAAGCCGAAGGGCCTGTGCTGGAAGCCAGGAGATGGACAAAAAGTGAAGACCAGAGCTCCCCCAAAGAAACAGAGGCGAGTCTTCCTCCTTGTTTCCCCTGTGTTCCATTTAAGGTACATGGCCACTCTTTGGTGCCACTCACACCCAGGGTGGGTCTTCTAGCTTCGATAAACTCATTCAGTCACACGCAGAACTGTGCTAGGCTAATCAGTCAGGTGGTTTCTTACTCAAGTTGACCCAACACTTAACTATTACAATCCACTCCCGGCTAACTTGACAACCAGACACATTTCCTTAAACCACACTTAGTCTCCAGATACAAAGACAAGTTCATACTTATGCCTAACAAGATACAACTATCCTGCATACAAACAGAAATGCATCAAGTCCCTCCCCAGAATAGAAGGCAAGTTTTTCTTTGGGTGATGCTTCCTCCTAACATTTCCTATCTTAAACATTATAACACAGGTTTAACAATGCTTAAGAACCAATATTAAGTCTATCAACATTATGTTACAAAGAAAGATATTACAGAATAGAAAAGAACAATTGGAATTATAATCCTTATTTCTGTAGCTAGTCACAGGGTCATAGCTGGTATTTATAACTACCTTCTTGTACTACTCATTCTGTATTCCCTTGCAAGCACCTCAGCAACTCATGGTTCTTCTGCTGGTGGAGGGACCCATACCTTTATTCCTGAAGTTTCTTGGCTATTTCTCATCCTGCTTGGATTGGTTGTTGTAGTTTCCTAATGACCTTAATAGAGGGCATGGTAATTCTAGAAGGAACACTAAAGTATCTCCTACACTCCAAGTGAATTATTCTTTTCTTCCATTGTGGAATAACAGTCCAAGTCCCCCTTGATAGTCTGGGTCTGTCATCCCTGCCAACAGTGTCTCTCCCTTTTTAGTTTGTTTGCTCAGAGCCATGAGGGGCCCAAATGACCAGGGGGAAGGCTTAGATTTCAGTTCAATGGAACCATTGTTGTCCTTCCTGGTACAAGCCTTCCTTGCTCTGGAACTAAGCCTTCTCGGCCAGCAGGGCATAAAGC